TATTTTTGTTAAGGCAAATTGTGTATATACTTAAAACAATCAGAAGGAATAAACAAAAAGAATGTCATTATATTTAGCTTCTTTGAAATATATTTTAAACAAGTAAAATATTGTTGTCACCAACAATAATAAGTTGAAGTTGAAATATAATTTAAATCACTATTTATGTTAAATTAACTAGATCAATCTTATTTTAATCTAAAATTTTATCTACAAATAAAAATTGATTTTGTGTTTATAACTAAGCAAATTTCTGTGACTGTCATGATAATAAGTACATTTCAGATATTAATCCTTTTTTTTTTGCTCCTCCGCATTGCTGTACTGATTTCCTTAAATGACTCAACTGATTTGTATTACTATTTATGTGTACTACAGGGGAAGTCTGTTTTCTCCCATTTCCTTCCAAATGGATTTTTGAAACTTCTCTTTTGATATATAGGTTATTCTGCTCATTTTAAGAGAGGGGCCAGGCCATGACAATTACCACTCAAGCAGTTGATATCATCAACCACTTAATTTCCTATGAAGTTCAGAGGTAGAATCACAATACTGAGAGAAACTTAAGTGCATGAGGGAATCACATATTAGAAAACATCACTTTTTGAGGTTAATAAATCTGACCATAATGTACTTTCCTGTGCCATGTGTTAGTATATAGTTGTGAAAATAGAACATTTTATATTCATTTTCAATATTGTATAGCAGCAGTTTATCTGATAAGCTTTGTCACTACCCTATATCAGTATTTTTTTTACAAACATCAAACCATACTACATTTAATTAAAGCATTAGAATGGCAATTAGACGCATGTACAACTAAACACATATTTAGAAAAATGTTAAAGTTTTATTGGATACTGTACAGAAAAAAATAGTGCCTCCTTTATAATTTGCTTTCTATTGAATATGACAAGCTTAAAATAATCTTAATTTGTTTAAACTTGGAAAAATACATGAGAAGGAAGAGAACAAAGATCCTGTAGAGTAAAAAATGCAAGAGGGAGAGGAAGGAAGAAAAAGAGTGGCTGAGGGAAAGAATGAAGGAAGGAGAGAAGAAAGGAGTTCACACACTAACATCTTATTTATTGGGCACTTGTAGAGTTATTACATTTAACTGATGTTTCATGGTATATAGGGGACTTCATTCATTTGTCTGTGCTCTAAATTAGACCATAACTGTCCTCATTAAAGATAAGGAATCTGAGCATCACAGTTCATAAAAAATTTCAAGAATACAATATAACTGACATTATGCAAATATTGGCCTGACTACATCATCAAAATTCAAACTGTGTAATCACAATTTTAAAACATCTCCATAAATGAAGAAATGTACCTATGAATCTCACCTTGTATTGACTGATTGTAAACCCTTAAAACAAACATCTTGCGATTTCTACTGAAATCAGTTTGTGTAATCTTGACCAAAATGCTATGTTTTATCCAACTTTTCCTTCTGCGCTTAAAAGTGAAGACCAGGTCTAGTAGTGAAGGTAGAGAATATTACAGGTACATCCTTCATCCCATATTCAATGTGATTTAATAAAAATGAAAAATGAAGGGCTCAAATTCACTTCCTAACTGCAACTAAAATTAATGGGCATTCCCTGAGAGGTCATCTACTTGTGAGATTTACTCATGGCTCCCCAGGGTTTGGACAATTTCTGACTCCAAGTGTATCTGAGAAATAACTTGGTGCACTTTTTCACTTGCTTGAGAGTTTGTAATATTTTCATTTTCTTTCAAAGCTTTTAGAATTTGAGGGCTGGTTCTACAAAAAACATTTTCACTTTCAGGATGAGAAAGCTTTTGTATACTGAATAGATTGTAGTGTCTCTGCATAATTTATATAAAATGTTCACATACTCAACAAGCATAATAAGATCTGAATTCTGTTCCACAGAATTTATTAATCAATCTGAAAGGATAGTATCTACTATTCTGGGAAATACTTGTGGGGCTATTCTTCAAAAAAAACCACTTTATATATAAATATATGAGAATGTATATATTAAGAAAAATACACATTTCCTCTAAGAATATTTTTATCTTTTGACAAGGTCACATATGTGTGTATGTGTGTATATATATATATATATATGCATTTATACATATCTAAACATACATATGTGTGTATGCATGTGCACAGTATTCTATGGCCACATTGAGTCACTGAGTACACAGTGCATTTTCTTGTGGTCATTCCAGTTATGCTGACCCCTGTCTTCTTCCCAACTATACCTCCTCCTGTATATTAGTCTATTGATTTTGACTCACTGGCTTTAAGGTTGATGGATAGAGGATTATTTAATGGACAATAGGCAACTTTTCTGGGGTTACATGCTTAAAGAAATGGTACTCCTTAACCAGGAACATTTAATTGCCATTATATATTTTGTGGGGATTGGAGATTCATGATTCCCTTCACTATACATGAAGAAACTTGTTTCAATTCAACACAAATATCAGTGTTGATTTTGTCATAGTTGAAATGATCAAGTCTTTTGCTGAACATGGACTTCAACTGTTTAGCTTGACTCACTGGCAAGTGCACTTCATGCATTCTTGAGTCCCATTTTCCTAGAATTAAAGTTATAGGCATGGCCACCATTACTGTCCTGGCTATTTAAATGGCTACCACGGAGCCAAACTTAAAAGTTCTACAAATTATGGGATGAAAAGTATGATAGCAATTGAGCTATCTTGAAGACCTCACCTTTCAATTTATTTTGTGTATTTATATTAATTACTTGGTGTTATCATTTTTGTAGTTTTATATTTAAATTATAGGATGAAAAGAAAAATATTTTAACACAAGAATGTTTGACACCTTCTTCAATTTCTAAATAATACTTAAGACATACCTTAGATGTTTTACTAAAAAAAAAATGCTGTGTTTTATGTCACCTTGAACATAGTGACCCATGAATCATGATTATCCACTTAGCTCTATACTTGTTAAATGTTACAAAAAGGAGCTGTAACAATATAAATGAACCTTGCAATGCAACATGCCTCTTGTGGTCTCCAGCCTCAAGTTGTCAATTTTCCATTTCAGTTCTTCTATATCCATCAGAAGAGATGATTTCACTACCCTCTCATCACTTTCTCCTGGAACATCATTATCAGTATTGAATCTACAACTGAATACTCAGAATTAAAATAATAAAAGGAAAATGTTTGATTTTGATATGTGATGGAACAAACAAACCTGTTTCAAATAGTATACTATAGACAAAATAACTTATTTATGCTTTTACTTTAAACATTGCATTAGTAGCTTCATAAATCACTTGAGCCACTGATGGCAGATGTTCATTCTAAGGAAATTCTTTGGGACAAATGAACAACTTTGAGGAAAAAATGTTCCTTTTGTTGGGTAATGACATTAATAAGATGAATTTCCTTTGAGTCTGATGACCAACAGAAAATACATGGGTAAATCACCCCAAAATGTCTGAACTTCTATCACACATTTAGTCTGATAGTGATTTTATACACATTATTCAGATATTGTCTTAATCTAGATATTAATTTTTATACCCTCTCTAATGGGAATACAATACAATGTCATCTATCTTCTGTACATTCTAGTACTTTGAATATGCCATGTAAAATTAAGGAGAGACAAACATAATATAAGCATTTAGTAATTTTGCCCATTAAATGTAATTGGCCTGTCAGCCATACTAAAGAGAAAGCATGCTTTTCTTGCTAAATCATTTTGACCAGCTACAGACAGCATAATATATCCAGAATAATGTAGAATATACTTAAATCTCAATGATCTTCTTTGATAATTATATATATATATATATATATATATATATTTATAATTAGAAAGATAAAATAACTCAATAATTAGAAATGCATGGCTTTTATGAAAATTATTCTTCAGTCTGGTTTCTCTGGGTTTGCTTTCCCTGTAAAGAGTAGGAAAAATATGATATGTTGTCAGCATCTTAGCCTTTGTCACACCTGCCTTTGCATGAATTGGAAAAGGTAGAGTTTATGGGGTTTTCCCATATGGAATTAGGTGACAGAACTCATTGAGATGAGTTAGTTGCACCATCAAAGAGAAATTACCCATGGATTTAAAAATAAAGTCAAATGATACAGGAACATCCAGAATTCAACTCAAATTCATGTTTCTTTTGATGCATTTCCTGGATATGATGTCTCACAGTATCACTTAGAATCTTATTTTTCCCTTGGAGTAAATTTGTTATTTTTTTAATTTTAATACACAGCAGGTTATCAACCTAATTTTGTAATATGGCATAGTTTAAATGGAAAGCATTTTAATACTTAAACCTCTTTCAATGTTTTATTATATCTATGAGAGTATAAAGCTGTGATTTCATTGTCATGCTAACTAGTGTTGTCAAGTAACAATACTAAATAGTCAATTCATCGTTAATATATTATCTCTAAAAGAGAGGTCTTAGTATCCTCCTGCCTCTGCCTCTTCCGCATATCCTACTAGTGTGTATCACCAGAATTGACTGACAGAGCGAGAAATAGTCTTCCTTAGGAAAGAGCATGCCAATTAGCTATCCAATATCAAATGTTCTTACCTGATAGTGTACATATGAGTAATATTATGGAGACTGAGACAGTTATATGTAGGAATATACATGTGTATATATATATGCACATAGCAACAATCAATGAAAAAAGGTCATGACTGTGAAAGAGGACAAAGAATTATATATGAGAGTTTTTAAAGGGAGAAAGGGTGGAGGAGAAATAATGTATTCATAATATAATCTCAAAAATAAACATTAAAATATTTTCTCACCTCAAACATTGAAGGACCCTCTAAAGAAAAAGTGTTCTTTTTATTCTGCATTATACCTAAATAATGTAGTAAATACATAGGTAAATATTGACTTCTTTATCATTGCATTATCTTTGAAGTATATCCTTTATTTGTTGATGTTTGTATGGAGATGAATGAACAAGTGAGTTGGGAGCATATACATGTTTGTACACATAAGGATAGTATGCTGTTTGTGCTTGTGCATGTATATATATACAAGTACATAAAATGACATTGATTATGTTCATCTGTTGTACACTACCTGATTGCCTTAGGATAAGTTCTGGAATGAACTTTTATATCTCTTTGTTTGAGTAGATATGTAGTCCTCTGAGCTTCTGGAACTACTTATCTGTCCTAAACTAACACTAGGTTAAGAGGCACTGTGATGCCTGGCTTCTGACATGGTTGTTGGAAATCAAAACCAATGTTCTTCTCTTTGCACAGCATGTTCTTACCCACTCATCCATTTCCACAGCATAGCAAGGATAATATTTAATATTTGTCAGAAATCACTATCAGTTTCTTCCTCATTTTCCTGAAGGCATTCTTCATTTCCTTATTCCTGAAAGTGTAAACCATAGGATTGAGCAATGGTGTCAAGATTGTTGTAAATACAACAGCATTCTTCTCAAAGGAGAATGCAGATGTTGGTCTTGCATATGTTAATATGCATGGGACAAAGAACAAAACCACAACAGTAATGTGAGACCCACAGGTGGAGAGAGCTTTAAATTTCCCTTCAGAGCTCTGGGCTCTCAGAGAGAACAAGATGACACCATAGGAAACAACCAATAAAGAAAAAATAATGATACAGATTGTCCCACTGTTGGCAAACACCAAAATTGCAAAAATGTGTGTGTCAGTACAGGCAAGTTTCAGTAATGGGAATAAGTCACACATGTAATGATCAATGACATTGGGTCCACAGAAGGGCAGCTGCAAAGTGAAAGTAATTTGTATAATAGAATGCAAGAAGCCTCCTACCCAGGCAACTACCACAAGATTTCCACAAAGACTCCGGTTCATAATGGAAGAGTAGTGTAAGGGTTTGCAAATGGCCACATAGCGGTCATAGGCCATGGCTGACAGAACAATCACCTCTACCCCAGTGAAGAAGTGGACAGCAAACAGCTGTATCATACAACATTCAAAGGAAATGGTCTTCCTTTTATAGAAGAAGTCTACTACCATCTTTGGAGTGACAGTAGAAGAAGTGCATGCATCCAATAAGGACAGGAATATCAGGAAGAAGTACATGGGGGAGCCCAGCAGTGCAGGACTGTATATAATGGTTATCACAATTATCATATTGCCCCCAATAGTTGCAAGGTAGACAAAAGAAAATACAACAAACAATATTTTCTCAACTTTTGAGTCCTGTAAAAGGCCCAGGAATATGAACTCAGTGACACAGCTCTGGTTTTTCATGATTCATAAGACGATGGTGAAAGTAAAATTCGTTCAAGCACATCTATAATTAGAAAAAAATACAATTTCAGAATCACTATGAACAAGTTGATGTATCTTTACACAAAATTATTTTGATCTATCTTATTAATATTTAGAACCAAATATTAGATTGCTTATAAAATGTGTAGTTATATAGCACACAGACTTGACATGAGAATAAACTTTTGAATACCATAAAATAGACACATTTTAAACACTGTGGATGAAAGAATCTTTTCTCTGGTAGAAGAAAAAAATCTTTGAATAGTCATCTTCTATCATAATCTGAGTATTTTCGAAGTGAAAAGTTTAAAAAGAATTCAAAACTATAATCTAGATAACTCCAATAATGACAATTTAAGAATATTGTCTGACATTGCACTTATTAGCCCAAGATAAATAATCTTTAGTGATTAATCAGATTACTTACCTACCAACAAAATTAGTGGCAAATTGTTCACTTGAAAATCTGGCTGTACTGTGGATTTGTTTACAACTACAGAGGCTATTGAAATATCAAGTTAATCAACCTACATTTCACTAAGGAAAATTCTGTCTGTTACATATATATGTTCAAATTTGGAGATTTCACTTCTAATTCATTATTTTAAAATATGGCCAGAACTTTGTAAATAAATAAGACTGCTTTCAGGAAAACTAAATGAAATTAGTGCAACTACAAGATACTGTAAACTCCAAGACTCACCCCTTAGTCATAAGTATGTAACAAGAGTTATTGATTCTATTTTATTTCCTCAAAATTTATAATGAATTTGTTAAGGTAAAGCAAAGAGCAGACGATTAATTTGGGATCTTAAGAGACCAGGCATAAACACTCAGGAGGCATCCACAGAGTCAACTGAACAAAAACAGAGATTGTTTTCCTCAATGAAAACTTCAGAGTAGTATTGTTTTTTTTTTTATTCTGCTGTCTCCCGCTTTCTGCAAAAGTTACATAATGTTATCATTTTATTTATATAGGAAAGGCATCTTGATAAAGGCAACAGGGAAGTATCAGAATGAAGAGTCCAGTCAGATAAACATGGAGACTGGTAGCACCATATATCTGAAGAAGAAAGAGTACTCATTTAACAGAATTTAGACTCTTGAGACTTAATTACTTGCCAGTTATTAATACAGTTGAGTTTTTCAGAGAATATAATTTGGCAGTGTATATGATTTGAAATATATGTGAATTAACTCTAAAACATGTTCATAACTAATCTACTTGCTCTTCTGCAAGGATGATGTAAAAGGTCAAATGAAAATGTCAAAATGTTATGCATGGCAGTTATCTTAGGTTTTCCTTTGCACAGAAAGATTTAACAAATGAATTATCAAAGCTTTTATGGTGACCATATAAAAATAATTATGGGGGATACTGGACAGATGGTTCAGTGGTTAAAGCTATTCACTGCTCTTCCAAAGGACCTTGGTTCAATTCCCAGCATCCACATGAGTGTTCACAACTGTCTCAAACTCCAGTTCCAGGGTACCAGACACCCACGGCAAAACACCACTGTACATTTAAGAGACTAACAGTAATAATAATAATGGAAACAAAAATTGTAAGAACAAATGTTAAAGGACAAGAATATGTGACCTTAGACAATGACATGCACCAGAGAATTTGATTTTAGATACAAATATTGCTTTGCATAACCAAAGCTGTTAAGTAGTTTTCTTATATTTAGTCACAAGGCAGAATACTTGATTTCATAGTTGTGAGATATGATGGTTTCCACCCACTGTACTTTCTAAAGTTCTGAGTAATTAATGGTAGAATATAAAGATCACACCACAGGCAAATGATATGTTCCAAAGTATACAGGCACAATGTTAATTTTAAGATAAGTAAATCTTAGCCTCATCTTTTACATTCTAGTTAAGATTAGTTTGAAACAAAATGACACTATCATTTTTCTACTGATACATACTAAATATTGACTACAATGTAGTTATGTAGTTATGATCACTAGAGTTATGATTTTACATAATTTAGGATATAATTAGCAAAAGTGGTTTACTTTAATTTTACTCTACATTGAATTTTATGATATAAAATAAAAATTGATAATTAATCTAAAAATAAATAAAATCTGTTATTTAGTTTAGACAAATGTTTGCATTTTTCTCCACTATTGACAAATACATACAGTAAAGATGTGTGGTCATAATAATGAATCAGTGCTAGTAATAGTCTAGAGGCCTCCATTCTATCTCATTTGCATGAATTTAAAATTAGACTAAATACAAAGTAATAGAAAGTTAAATATCGTTCGTTCTCTGTTCTTTGAAGGAAGCATACCAGAAGAGGGATATGATCACAATATACTTTCTATATGTATAAACTTCTCAAATGATAAATAAAAATGTATTTTTAAAGAGGTGTCAAAATGGCTTAATATCAAAATAGTCCTATATTATTGAGTGAAGTACCACATCCCCTCTCTGATCTTTATATAGATATTTTTAAAAGTTGGTAAGGTTTTTCTATTTGTTTTAATGGGGTTAGCATGGTCCTATATAACTCAGGCTGGAATCAAACTCACCAGATAACTTGAATAAATTTGAATTCCTGATCTTTATGTCTCCATGTCCAAACTACTAGGATTAAAATCTTGTGACACCATATTCATTCATATTCATAGATTTTATCATCATATACTATAAAATATAAGTCAAAAGGAACTTTCAAATGCTGACATCCACATTATTTTAAACAATGCTTGGGTACCTAAAACAGAGGAAAAGTAGTGCATGAAATTCTTATCTCTAATAGCTACATTCTTGAAAAGTCTAGACCAGTATAGGATTTCACTAGTTATCCCCTTGAGCAATAATATTGGGAAGTTTGCCTTTCTGTGTCCAACTATTCACATGGTCCACTATCCTAACGGCAAGGCTAATTGACCAACAATATATCTACAAAGCTCAAAATTTCTTTGTTAATATAAAATATCTTTAAAATTAAAAAAAATATATAATAATAATGAGCAGAAAGGTTGTTATTCTGGGTGATAGTTTTGAACTTTATGTAAAAAAATAAACACTTATTACAAATGATAATCATAAATTCAAATTATATTTAAAATTGTTCTTGTTAAAGTTCATAAGTTCAAGATAATTTCATCTATTATTTCTAGATATTAATAAAAGAAGTTTTACTTTTCTGTGTCTTAACAGAATTTGTTTCTACCGTTCTCTGGGAAAGAAGCTCTCCAAAGATGACTAATCCCCCGTTTTTCCCCTAACAAATACTGACTTGCTAATATCCCTAAATGTCTCAACTTTCTTATCTTAGAAACAGTGGAAAAAAAGCTCTTTTTCTGGTTCCTCTCATATCTTTCCTAACGGATTTTTGAAAATTTGCTTTGATGACTTGGTGAATTAGCTCAATTTGGAAGAATGACCTACTTTAATGCAGTTCAAAGATGCCTTTTAGATTTTCCTAGAACATTCTGAGACAAAAATCTCGTGCTTTCAGGAATTTAAGTAGATATAAATCAGAAGCCTCTTTATTTTATAGCATAGGTATCTTTGAACATAATAAAATTTCTTGTGTCATGTTTTGTGTTAGGTTTTGAATGTAGTATATATCTGTCTTAACATATGCCACTTGCACAAATATTATACATATAAAAATATTATATATATTTTATATATATTTGTATATATAATATACAAATATTATATATATAAAATAATCATTTTCAATATTTTGTAGAGCTTAGTAGGATTTCTATTTGCCCTAACCCTATATCGATATTCTTTACAAAACCTCAAAGCATGCTGCCTTTACATAGAAATATCAGAATGGTGAGTATACTCATAAATGCTCATGTATTTAGAAAATAAGTAAAATTTGATTGCATGAATAAAAGAAAACACAAAATTTGGTGGCTTTATACCATTACATGGTTTCAACACAAAGGTAGAATTATGAAATACCAATTGCCTACATTAAAATTTAAGAAATGTGTGATTATCAATGACAAGAAAGCAAGGAACTAAGACAGGAAGCATATGAGAGGGGAGGGGAGTAAGACAGGAGAGAGAAGAGAGAGGAGGAGGAGAAGTGGTGCAGGGATAATAGGAAGAGAAGGAGAGTGAGAAAGAATTTACAATCTGAAGCCTCTTTTTATGGGCACATGAGCAGTTGTTACCTTTAAGTACTATTTTCTGGGCTCTGTATATATTATTTTGTCAGCTTCTATAGTCTCTGAATTTCATAGTAAAATTTCTCACTGATCATCAGCTTTTACAACTCTCAAAAACACTTAAGAAATGAAAAAAATAATGTTTGAAACACATAGTGTCTTAACCACATCAAAACTATAAATCACTTTATCATAATTTAATTCATTTCTAAAAATGAAAATATTTGCTTTATCTTTCTAACCATATGTAAATTGTACAAAAATTTCTGGAGACATTCCTACCCTGTTTTGTAGGAGTTCATTTACTGTTGATGAAATCACTGTTTGTATCCAGTGTTTTTGGCCACATGTAATAGAGAAGAACAGCTCTCACTGAGTCAGAGGAGAATGTTACCAATGCTTTTCTCACATTGTCTGCATCAATGTGATGCATAAAAGCAAAATAAAAAAACACCAAGATTTTACTTTAATAGTGAATGGAATTTAATGTTTCTTGAGAGTTGGTACACCTATGAGACCTATTCTTAGCTCCCTGAGGGTTTGTGCAATTTATTGCTCCAGGATTATCCAAGGAGTAATTTCATTCGATTGTTTATAACACTTTTATTCTCAAACAAAATCAAGTTTAAAACATTGGTTGGAGAGGTTTCTATTTGATAACTTTTAAGGTAGTATTACTCTCAAGAATAAAACACTTTTATATAATGTATGGAATGCAACATCCTTGTACAGAATTTAAATAGAATACTTGTATACTTACCAAAATAAAAGCCAGTTTTATCATAAGGAATCTATCAACAATATTTAAGGGTAACTTGTATGTTTTTAGGAAAATTCTAGCAAGAACTATATTC